GGATAATTGGTAATCAATTTCAAAATGCGAAATCTTGCCTTTAAAACCACAATGCAACTTTCAATAATGTTATAGTACGATGAATGTATATAGTTGAACAATTCTTCATTTCCACGTAGTCTTTCCGTCCAAAATAGTCACGCAGATGATATTTTTGACCTCGATAAGGGGAAAGAAATCCCGGCATATTTGGGTAGCCAGAATCAACAAGGTAAAATTGATCTGCCAAAAAAATAATAATAACTCACATAGTTTAACACTGTAAATACATTCACAATAATTATTTGAAGTACAATAATATACCTCCATGTGACATTGGAAAGTTGTTCGATCTTCTTGTGACTGCGTCAATGAATACTCGCGAATCATTAGAAGTGCCTTCCCAACCAGAATACACAAACGTGAATTTCGTATCGAAATCACATGTCAACATCACATTTTATGTTACATTAGTTTTCCTTCCACGAAAAGATGTTTACCTCGATGCATGTGCCCGAGCTGCAACATGTGTACAATCTATTGTGCCTACACAATCGTTAAAGAAAGGATATTTGCGCAAAATCCGCTCATGAACAACATTTTGATTTGCAGGACGGATTATCTCTATGTCAAATGAACAAACAGCCCTATCACTCGTTTAAACCATTTGTGTATAGTGTTGTTGGAATGCTGAAACTTATTACCAATAATACTATATCGTGTAATGTTGCCCTATAATCATCAGGAACATAGCAACACCCTCCTCGACATTCACTTTTTTTCCATCTTCCAACAGTTCTTTCTCTTTCAAAATATCACAAAAATTTATGAAAACGTGTTTCTGCATACGAAATTACGATAGCACACGTCTGGATATCCATTTAGAATTTCTAACATGTACATTTTTCCCGTGAGCAATGATGTCCTACAAGGTGTCATGTCAATGGTACTTTTCAAAATTTGTGTCAAACTCATTCGTTAATAACAAATCATCATCGCTCGAATCTTCATTAAGGAAATCATCGGTATTCACATTATCATCCATGATGTGAACAAAATATACCCACAGTAAGTAACATAAGTCATAATCACTATCATTAATGTAAATAAAACAAGCAATCTAGCATTG